TGTTTCTATCTAGTTCAAATTCTTGGATTTAATTTAGAGAGTTAATTTATATAATCTCTGTGAAATTCCTAGCTCAATTTGTTACCTATGAAGTCTAAATATAAATTATTATGAGACTCTCAAAAGTGAACAGTTGAAGTCTAGCTTGTAATGCCATATTCGGTAAAGTTTATATACAATGTTACCTCTTAGAATATGGAAACTTTGAACAAGTCATCAATAGAACAATTAATTCCCTAATACCCTTCTAATAAGTAACTGATTTTCAAAGAAATATAGATGATAATTAAGCCAAATTGATTGAACCTGATCAGGAAAGAATAATGAATGAAAGAGATACCATGTTGTATGTATAGAGAGAGTCCAAATTGTGCCGTGCAAATCTCACTGCCATCTGCGAGTGGTCCTGTTTCTACAAGTTAAGTAGATGCTTTAAAGAACCTAAGTCGGTCCCTCGTCTGTAAGTGTAGCGCAGCTACCTACATCTATCTATCTATGTACCATGCACCTAATCCAGTTCATGATCTGATCACTGCCTTTGCTTACACCACAACTTTTGGAAGCTACTAATTATGACTTCTCTAGCTAGTTCAATTTCTACTCTACTTAATATATATATATATATATGTCGCTTTACACCCCAACTGTTTCTATTCTATGATGTAAGATCAAACCATATACTGTTCGGCATTCATACTTTTTCAGCAGGAAGCTAAATCTGCAAACTTTTCAAACTCTACGTGCACGTATTGAACATCCAAGTATGATTCCACGTAAAAAGGGCGCGCGCGTATATAGATAGCAATGGTCATAATAAATTGATAACAATGCATATTCTTTACTCTTTCGTAATGCTGGGGGAATTTTTCTGATCTAGTTGCATGCCCTATAAAGAGTAAACTAATTAACAGATGTATTTTCTCCTGGCTTTTCCCAACAAAATATGTTTTGTATGTTGAACAGAGCTAAACATTAAGCCGGTCTTGTTTGGTAATTTGGTGCGTGAATTAATTGATCCAGGCAATTGATTTTGGTTGAGATTCACTTTACAACGGAAAGAGCCAGTTGATGGTCAAAAAAGTAATTGGCCGTGCAATTCTTTGTTGCGCTTTGTGATGTGTACGTTTGAGAGGGTTGGAATTTCATTATGAATTCAGACCCATGTGAACCCAATACATTTGCAAATCCAATCCTAACTCTTATCAAATAACATCTTTTATATATGTTTATAAAATTTAAATACACGCTAAGACAGCAAGAGGTATAAAAAATGTGATAAATATACAAACAATATGAGATCCTCCATATAGAATTATTGTATACTTTTCTTTAAATGCAGATAATGATGATTATAAATGCACAAATCTTGATAATAAAGCTTATAGCATTTATATATACAATAGTAAATATGTTGTCAAAATTCCCTTTACTTCTTTAAAAGATTTTTACTTAAACCCAACTTAAGAAAGATGAGCTATAAATAGTCAAACGAGAGATCATTTAAATTGTCTTTAATGTAACCAAAAATGAACATGATAAATTCAAGCTCAAAATGTAAAGTAGATGAATATAATTGTCACGTCTCAAAAATAGAAAGTGACCGGCATGGGTGTGAACCACTCACACATCCCCGTAAGTCACGAAACAAAAATTTATTCCATTTTTATAAAGAAAAAAAGAAAATTAATCAAATTACATGAGAATTAAAATTATATATATATATTTTAAGCTAATTGTCATAAGAAAGTGTTGACATTTTTGTAGAAATTTCGACAGAATCTCCCCTGTAATTAAGATTTTTCAAAAATTTTACAACAAAAATTTCTACAGATAATGGTATAAATCAGGAGCATAACTCCTTTCAACCAGCAATCAATGTACAAACCAAAATAAAGTCTACCAACAATTTATGTGGAGCATTTACTCTTTCTTTTAAATCAAAAAGATATACAAACTATATATTTATATTAAAAGCAACAGTATCAATTAAAAATTTTCACCCACAGTAGCTAGGTTGTCCTTCAGAGGTCAAGGGGGATCAGCGTTAGCTAACAAATTTGAGACTAAAATAAGTTTTTCATTGAATAGCATTCCTATAGTAAAATTCTTAAAATTTAAAATCAACAAAATCTAATAATGGTGCCAACTAATTAAAATAATTTCTCAAATTTTATAAACCTGTATGTCATAACCTTAATTGTAAAATATGAATAAGTTGAAAATAATTTATGCTATAATGCTTAAAAAAAAATTTACTCACATATAGTTTTAAGTGGTAAAATTATTAGCTAAAATCATGTAAATTTTAGAATAACACTTTAATCAACATGTAAAATTTTGAGAACTCAACAGAACAAGTTACAAATATAAACATACAATTTATGAGGATAAATAACTAAATGTAGCTTATGGCACCAAAACAAAAGCGGACACACCAATCCACGAAGGCAAGTAATCAAGCACAGCCAAAGTTACGAAACAAATATGAACACACAATCCATGAGGGTATATAACCAAACGCGACTCAGGCCACGGAATCAAATGTGGGGTACAAAGCCCACGAATACCAAACATGAGAATAAAGCTCATACAACAAACTAGCTAGTATTCAACCACAGCACGTTACGGGCTAACAGAATTGCAGTTGGCAACAGTGTTTTGTTTAGAGTCTTCTTGAAATCATGTTTTAAACATGTAAGAAAAATAATTATTGCTATAATAAAATTTCTATTCTCAATGCTAAACTCGCATGAGTCATTTCAAATCTCAAATTTTGTGAAAACCATATTTTATAGCTATTACGCCAAACTTACAGTACTTGAGTAATCAATACATTTCAAAACTTAACAACATATAAGAGTACTTTCATCAACCTTGGAAATACACTTTTTGATAATAAATAAGTTCACATATCATAATTCATTTGTCCTTTACCAATATGCCATAATTTTCAAAATTAATGTAATTCAAAAAAATTAAAATGGTTCAATAAAAGTCTATGACAATAAAATAAATCAAAAGGTATGCTATTCACTTGTTGTAGTTGCAAATCTTTAAAATATATATTTTTTTTCTTCAATTCCTATCAGGATCCTCTTCTTCTACACATCCTATAAAGACATAAAATTTCATGATTACATTTCTTTGAAGTGTATAAATTCATTCATAATTCCATACCTTTCATATTCATATTTCTTCTACTAGATACTCTTTCAAACACTTATAGTTATATTTTTTCAAGCTAAAACTACTCTTTCCTTTCAAACTTCAGCTTCTATACATCTTATAATACAATATCCATTCTAATCCTAAAGCCAACAAAATTTTATACACTAAAAATCAAGTTTAATTCCTCTTACAACCATTGTGACAATCATCTCATAGGCACAAATTTCAAGTTTCACGCTTGAGCTCTTTCTCTTTTAAATCTATTATAACAATTATTCTAGACCAACTAACTCAATAATTCAACTTAGCTTGGATATTTTCACCATATATAGATCATTGTTAAGCCTCCGGATATATATATTTTTTCAAGCTCCATTGAATTTCTTTCTTCTTCCATTTTTCACACAGCAGCAAGACCACAAAAATTTATAATCTCCTTAATACCACCCTAGCCACTCACACGCACAGATTTACAAGGAGAAGAAAAAGATTGAAGCTTCTAACCTTAAATGAATCAACATGCACGGACAGAGGAAAGAGAATGATTCTGAGCAGTGAAGTAGAAGGGCTGTCGCCATGAATGAAGGAGAAGAGTAAGCTTATCAGTAATCGAAAACAAACCAAAAGGAAGAGATCTTAGCTCACTCAAACCATTTATACACACACGAACAACAATATAAGAGAAAGAGAGATTTTTCATACTTGAATAAGCAACAAAGGCGGACAAACAGCAGCAACTCGTGAACGAAATCACAACTGAGGTGAATGGACGAGCATAGCAGCAACAACGACCCACGCGAATGACGGTGCCAGCTTCGGTTGAGGAGGAAGAAGATAGTGATCAGTGAAAGGCAAAGCAAAGTGTTGGTGCTTCCCAGATCTCTCTTAGCTCCTGATTAATCGAGAAAGAAGGAAGAAAGAGTTAAAAAAAAAAATTTGATGGAACTAAGGGTAGTTTGGTAATTTCACATAGCTAGAAAAAGAAAAAAAATTAACTTTTCTTTTGGTCTCTTCTAGATTCAAACTTGGGACCTAGTATATGAAGTGCTCAGCTGCCACTAGACCAAGTCTTTAACTTGTTATATTTATCTCAAGAACTAATATAAATACACTTTAAGCAAGTTAACCTATATATATATATGTATGTATATTTATTTATTTATTTTAAATTTTGTCAGGGTTATTACAATAATCATGAGATATGAATAAATATCGTCATATTTTCTTGTGTCATTAGTCTTTTTCTAAATATATGTACGCATGAATGAAGAAAATCCAATCTAGTTATAAACATATAATTAAGTTTCAATCCATTGAAAAGTAAGTCCAGTGATTGTATTAATTTACACACACACACACCCTTATTATAAAACACTTTTTTTAAGTATCATACTAAAATTTTTAATACGTAATTACTATGATTTTTTAAAAATACTTTTAATTAGGAGTATAGTTGCAAGAACCTTTTTGATTGAAGCAACTTATTAAACAAGACTAAACCTGGAAAGGATGTAGTTTAATGTCATTAACTAACTTGTTATAGGAGGATAAATTAATTAAAAGTACTATATAACATATTAATTCTAACGGAATGAGCATACATGTGGATTGCTAATGATTATTAACTTGTCTATTTATTTTTAATTTATTTAAGAGATATTCTCCGTTCTCTCTTTCTTTCTTGGACATTAAATTAAATTGACATAATTACATGAAAAGTGGTGCTGTAATTAATTAGACTTCAAGAATTCTCTGAAGAAAAGGGTCCAAAAGTAAGGCTGAGGTCATATATAAATGTTCAATTCGTTGACAGCACTGAAGAGCTTATTTTGAGGCTGGGAAAGGATTTTCTTTGTCTTCTGCATCACCATCTTCCTCATCTTTTCTTTCTTATCCATGGCGAATAGCTCATAACAGAATTCACAAACAGCTCCAGCTGGAATCCCCTCTCTCTCTCTCTCTCTTTCACGTAAGGTACAGTCTTGTTAACTGAATTATTAAAGTTGGCCTGCTCTCTTGCATTCAAGTTCTCTCAGTACTACTGTTCCAAATGATCCTTAATTTGGTATAATTTCCTTGTCAGGCAGGCCATCTGATCTATGCTTCGATTTCATTCCGTAAACTACGAATTTACTGAATTCAGTTTTCTTTGCCCTAATTTTGGAGCAATTTACACAACTTCAGCACCAGCATAATCTCTCTCATCTGGAATTATATTGTAAACCAAACTGATTTCACCGAAGAACTCACTTTTTTACACTTGAATTTGGATCTCTAAATCTTGAATTTGAACACATGAGAACGTTTTTCATTTCTCACCATGTCTTAAGCATGCGCGTGAGAATTTTGGTATGTTTCAATTAATTGCTTGTTAATCTTACTCAAAACAGAAACAAAAAAACATTCATTTTCATAATGTGAAACTTTTTTCATTGTTCAGAATAGTTCGATCGATGAGGAGAGAAGCAATGAACTGGATGTTTTGAAGAAGGAGACGATAATATATCATCAAGAGAGATAATAATTAGAAAGAAGATGATAAACGAAGATTCAAGAGAAGGATATTACAAAGCCAAGCAAGAGGGAGGTACCATCAACAACAACACTGAGAAATTCTCGAAGGTACCAAATTCAAGACAGTGGCCAGGGTTCAGAAATCCAAGAATTGTGCGAGTTTCTCGATCTTTCGGAGGAAAAGATAGGCACAGCAAGGTTTGCACCATAAGAGGACTAAGAGACAGAAGGATTAGGCTATCAGTACCAACAGCAGTTCAGATTTATGATCTTCAAGACAGGCTTGGACTAAGCCAACCCAGTAAGGTCATAGATTGGCTGCTTGAAGCCACAAAGTATGATATTGATAAGCTCCCACCTCTTCAAATTCCTCATGGTTTCCCTCAATTTAATACACAAACCCTACTTCCTCATCATCATTATGAACCGGCAATTTCCTTGCACTCTTCTCTTGATATAGGATCTGTGTTTGAAAAGGGAAAGTGGGCCAAGGCAAGTGAAGGAGGAAATGAAGATGGGTTTGGTGAGATTCCATTTCATCAGAAGAATTTTCCCTCTGGGGCTCAGCACTACAATGGCATGCTATGTAATTATAACCCCCATCATTTGGAACCTGCAAGTCTATCTTTATCCCAATTTGGAAGCCATGGATTGGTGTTTCCTCCACAGACGGAATATGCAAATACTCAAAGCAGTAGTGGCAATGGCGTACAATTTTCATCTTGTTTTCCTGCTGTAGTACCACCATCTTCTGGTTCTAAATTACTGTTTTGCCCATCTTCTTCTTCTACTTCTGCCACAGTACCTTCGTTTTTTCCTCCACATCAGGTTGCCACCTCAGCAGAAGACAATGATCCGAGAGGACAGTTCAACAACCATGTTCATCAGTTGCTGAGCTCCTCTAGTTCTCATTTACCGACAGCTCCTAATTACCCTCACATTTCATGTCTGAAACACCTCCCAGTACCATTTACTTCTAAGCTTCTAGATTCAGATCATAATCAACCACCAAAGGAAAGTACTCTTTGATGCATATCTCATAGTTGATTGTAACTGTTAACACAGCTCCGCTGTGCGTGTTGAAGGATATGAGTACAAGAACAGCAATGGGCAAATGCATGCTTACTTCTCTTGGATATTCTTCAAAGCAGTTTATCAAGATGCTGAAGCACATAAACTCCGCTGTGGAGCTATATGGTGAACGCACGCACGCTTGTAAGTATGGCATTAATTGCTATATATATATATATATATATTTGGGATTATGTTTGAATCTTTGCGGTTTTTGGGTGCTATATAGACCATATGTTGGCAAAACCATTGTGGGTGCAATTCAGACGAAATAAAGCTAAAATGAAGTTTATTTGCTTATATATGTACTTATTTAATTGTCGCCACTATATTTGTTTTCTAACTTCAGTTCAGTAAGGCAATGTCGCAGAGAACTTTACCAAAGAATATGCATGCGTCATGAGATTTTCATTTTATCTAATTTACTTAAAATTCGAAATGCATCAAGTGAATGATGAGGAAATAATAATAACCTTAAAAGTCAAGCTCTTATTAGTAGAATAATTACCCTAACCATTGAGGCATTGACCATATATTTGACTGGGTTTTCAAATAATGAAGACAGTAAACAATACATTACGCTGCATACCGGGGGAGAAGGATCATATTTAATCAGAAAATCCCAGGATGTATGCGTAATGTAGATAATATGATTAATTTTATGGCCTTGTTGCTTTAATGCTCAAGATGTTTACGAACGTTTATAATTGAAAGCTCACCTATGGCTTCGCACACAGAAGCAGCTTCGCTATATAGATGAAGTGTTGAGCTTGAAAGTTGAAACCAAGTAAATTTATAGCTGGGCACAAAGTAAATGAAGAAAAAGGCTGCCGAAATGCTGCTTATAATTAATGAGAAGGCTGAGCATATGTTTATATTGTTATTGATTGCGTCAACTTTTAACCCTTTTACCCGCTCTACTTTAGCTGGTTTGAGAAAATCGAAGCAAATGGAGTTATAATATAACGGTAACTATTTCGATTGGTAAATACCTGACTAGTGAGAAAGATTACCCGTATAAAGTAATTTTTAGAGCTTCGTACGCATGCCTTGGGTTAATTTGTATAGTAACTGCAGGATAGTCAGTTTGCTGTTTAGGGTCAGGTTATTATATATATATATGTGTGTGTGTGTATAAGTTCTTTTGTTTTCTACTTTAATGCTATTAAGGTACTGTGTCTCTGTAAAAAGAGGGTTACATGCCACGGCCACGCCTATATATTATTATTAAATTATAAAAATATTTGTTTAACATTGTCTGGTGGCAATTAATTACAATTGTTTGAATATTAAGAAATGACAATGGTTTAATTGATGGAGAGTACTCTAATTTAAAGAGAGAAGTTTATTACTCTCAAGTCTTTCTTGCATCAAATTAAGAAGCTTGAAGGGTATACATTTAACATTCATAAAAAAATAAAAAAAAATTATTCTTCACTTCTTGATAAGAATTATTTGTCCATAAATACCTAATATTTTTTCTAATATATAATTAACGCGCAGTCATATATAATATAGAAGACGCAAAATAAATGGTGACTTAATCCATCAACTTGTAAGGTTAATTAACATATATCTCAAGTCCATAAACTTTCAGTTAGTCAAATCTCTTAAATCTTATACTGCATATACATATACTTAAAAACTAAGGTTCAATAGTGTACGTACCAAATTAAATATGGTCCATATATAATATGCACTATATATGATGAAACTATGTAGGTCCATATAACATGCAGGAAACAAAATTTTGCAACGTTTGTTAAATTCCTCACTAATTAATCCCTCTCTCGTACATGCATGCAGCTGCTAGCAAAACGTGCACGAGGCTTAGCTACAAACCTCCCAAATATATATATATATATATATAGTTTTTTTTTAACCAGAGTTAACTGTATGCTTCTCTTGATGATCGATACGACTAGCTAGATATATACACCCATATATATGATCAAAGCTTGATGAAGAAATGTATATGGGGAAGAAAATTAAAGGATAAGGAGTCCAAATATGAAGGACTGGTCTGAGGGATCTGTTTTTGAGATAGAGAAAAGACAGTATGTGGCAGACGAAAGTTCATGGGTGTAGCCTATTTGCACAGCATGTAAATTGATGAATTAGGCAGAGAAGCATCCATATATCCCACGCACAAAGTGAAAAAGAAAAGCAAAGGGAAGCGGTCGGATTAATTGTGTTGTTTTGGAATCTGCAGTTGTCTGACACTGAAAAGGAAGGAACATAAAATCACAAGAAGCAGCGACTGAATTATCAGACATAAGCAGTCTCTGCATCAGTGCACAATAATATATCACAAGATCCAAGAACACCAAATTAAATTCAAGCAGACCCAGTTATATATATATATATATATATCATCCATCGCTGCACATGCACTAGCTAGGGTCTTGAAAGCCTCCTTCAACTTGAGGTCATGATGGCTTCAATGAAATTAAGTTAGAAATTAAACAACCAAAGAATTAATACACAAAACGTAACAATTATTAATTTTATATTTGTACGTAGCTTTATAGAACAGTCCCATTTGATGTGTTTTAATTTTCTTTTAGAAATAAACTTCATGCACTGAAGATGTGTAATACTGTGATTGTACAAGTCTCTTTAAGTTTGAATATATGCCATGACAAAAATAGTCAATTACGTAATCTTTTCTTTAAGAATTACATATACCCCTTTCATTCTCCAATATAAGGTAATCAAAGAGAAAGATACGAAGGACAACTAAATTTATGTTAGAATGTCCATTTATGAGGGGCAATTCTGTAAAAAAAATTGCAATCAGGATTAAATTTAAGAAGTTAAATATATCTTTAACAATAACTTTTCTTGTTGGTAAAAAAAAAAAAACCTTCTTTTCTTAATATTTGTAAATAATTAGTTGTTATATACATATACAAGATCCTAGGTAGTAATAATTGATAACTTCTTCGACTACAAATAAATTGGAGGGTTGGATACAAGTTTTGAAACAAAAAGGGCTATACTGTATGCAATTAATCTAGTTTAATTTATGAGCGTGATTTTCTAGGAAAATGAACAACGTAAACTTTCACATGTAAAGTAAAGACCTTGTTAAACATGTCATGTCCCTGAAGTTGAGAGTTTTCACTTTCAAGACCGTTGAATAAATGTAGAAATGGACAAGAATTAATCCTTTGGTGCCTTAGTCGGTGTGTGTATGTGTTAGGCATGCGCTTTGTAGGCGTGCAGACGAGTACATCTTTTGGCCATCGTACAAAAGCAAAAAAAATTATGTGCGACTTGTGGTCCTAAACATACATGTGTGTGTAATTGCTCTTTAAAATTACAAGGACCACTTTCGTTTTGAAAAACAACGAACCACACCTATCCCTTTAATCGTTATGATAAAATGAGACTTCTCTCTTTCACTCAAAAGAAGAAGAAGAAGAACGAACCACGTCACTAAGAAACGTTGATCTTTTAATTTCACCTTGGAGTTTAATTAGAGGTGGAATTATTAAAACTTTACATGATACTTGCTATGGTTTCACAAGACCCAAAAGAAAAAGTGGCCAATTATTATAATTTTTTTTGTTTCAAAAAAGCTGATGACTTTGTTAGGTTGGAACTCGGAAGCTTAGCAGAAGAACCAGAGGCAGCCGTTCAACGAAAAACGACAAAAGCAGCATTCGCAGAAGGGGCTTCCGCTGGGAAACGTAAAACGACAAAAGGCCCGGAGGGGGGGGGGAGAGTTGGGGGAAAAAGCCCCCGGCGAGGATCGAACTCGCGACCTTTCGCTTACGAAGCGAACGCACTACCACTATGCTACGGAGGCCATTTGAGACGATGGTGCTTTTAAATCTATAAGATGTAATTGACTGGCCCATAAGGCCATCTCCCTCCCGTAGCTATGCATTGCATCCACACACACACAGAGTGATCTTAAACTCCCCAAATTCACCAGATTGTTGTGGACGTATGCATGAATATTCGAAATGCAGTGTACAAATGTTTTTTTTCTAAAATAACGCATGAGATGTTTGATCCATTTTGCGGATGGGGAGCTTGGATTTCGTCAAGAGTCAGTTTCAGAGTTTCTTTACTTTTTTAAGTAATCTTTTCCCCCACTATCCATTCTCCTATGTCTTTAATTGATACAAAATTAGTAATATTCTGAAGGACACTTCTTAAGGCAGTTTCAACAGCGTCGGCGGCATCATGTGACCCTTGCAGGAGAAAACTTCATGGTTATCTCCTATCACTATCAGTCACTATTTTCTTATATCCAATTAAACTTGTAACCATGAAGTTGGCCAAAAAATTAAACTTGTAACCACAGGAACGGAAGTTGGTGCAACATGCGTCTGCCCCCCTCTCTCTGTGCGCGTGCGAGTGAGAGAAGGGGGGGGGGGGATGTTTGAAAGTAAATATGCTCCAAATCCATTCCAAGTCAATAACTTTTGCACAGCTCTCCAAAGATAGTCGAGGTTCCTTTATGTAACACACGCTCAAGATCGAGTGAATACCAGTACAAATTTCAGTAAGGCTGTGACTGAAGGTGAAAAACTATAAACTACTTCAGAGAGAGGAACAAAAGAAAAATTGGTTTTCATTTCACCAGTCTACTTTGGTAACATCTGCAATGCTGAACCATCATCCATCATCACCATAACTTTGCGATTGCATTATCGTCTGCATATGAAAACAACCGAACATGCAAATTTGTTACAAACGGTACAATATAAAAAAAAACCATTATGATCAAAGCCCCATCACTAAAATGCTATCAATTTATCATATTTGACATTAAATCCGTGAAGTGCAGAGCAATTGAGCATTCTATGGGTTGAAGCATCTCTGGAAGACTGGAAGTTTAACTGTTTGAGTGGTGAATGGGATAATCAGTCAAGTGATCCAAAACCCTTTCGCACTAATTCTTGAAGTTCATTGAATAGAACATTTGCTAAGAACAAAAAATACCTCTGGGAATAAAACGGGTAACGCTTCAGTAGCCCTTCGCAATATTACACTCATCTAACTTGTGTCAGAACAAAACTCAAAAGACCGAAAGAAAAGATTTATGTCCTTCCCTAGGTTGGAAGTCAAGTACTGTAAAACTATATAACTCCTAAGCACGTCTGACTCAAACAGCAGGCACATACATGGCCAACACAATGAGAAATCAGCGCCAAAACTCAATGTCACTTCAGTCGTCAGACTCAGTAAATAAAGAACTTTCCATTACATTCATTAAGGGCTTTGCCCTTAATTGTTCAGTAAGATCTTCGCTCCCAGCTAGAAGAGGTTCTGAAATCATTGGAGGCATTTACACTATCTATAACTTTGCGATAATAACGCCATGATGGATTTGATTCTCTTATCGGGCGTTGGCCAAACGGATTTGAAGCCACGTACTCTCGAACATCTTCAGCCATTGCCAGCCCTTCAAGATAAGTCCGGAGATCACCTCCAAGTCCTGTGATGATCAGAGAAGAATGCTATTGCATTTAAATACAGGTTAACGTTGTCAAAGAACTAAAACAATCTCTGGCTTATCAACATGTGTAAAGCTTTTTTTCCAAAAAAAAAAAAGGAAGAGAAAAGAAAAGAAAAAGAAAAAGAAGTGCGGAGGGGAGAGAGATAGTTAGAGGACTCTCACCTAATGATGAGTCTCTTAGGTCACGGTAATGATAAGAATAAGGAAATATGGCAGTGTTCATCTGAATCCAATTAGCGCAAATGGAGGTAAGCAAGAGCAAAAGATATAACAACACAAACTGAAGTCAGGCTTCTTATTGCTTAAAAGGAAAGCAAAAATAAAAACGGGGCTTACTGGATTTACTAGTGCCTTGTGAGGAGAGTCATCCAACAATAAAGTGTTCGACTCATTGAACTCTCCCTTCTCCCATGGAAGACCAGGTTCAAGCTTTTCCCACAACTTTCTAAGTTCCTTCAACACGAGGGGTTTGTCTCTGTTCTCAACGGTGTTGAAGTCTGTCATAGTACAGTGGGACTGATTCTACATAAACAGTCATAGAAAACTCAATAGTGTCTAGAATGATTTCATGCAAAGTGAATAATTAACTGCAATTATTCAATCAGCAGCATCTTTAGCAACAATTCCATGAGAAAGAAAGCTCCTTCCCCAACACAGAAAAAGGAAAATTCATCAGAGTGTGACTGGCCAAGTTTAACGCCTAACCAACAGCCCCAACAAAAGATATGCATCAAGCAACAACAACCCAAAAAAAAAAATGTTTAATAAGCTTACCCAACAAAAGAGTAGCTTAGAAGCAGACTTCCCCATAAGAAACTGGATTGCAGCTTCAACATTATTCCTGACAACATGCATATGCAAGTGTAAAAGAACAATTTTTACATCGATGTGTAAATCCAACTTCCCTGATACTGAAAAGTTATATCACTAAACAAAAGCAAGCCAACATGTCATATTAGTGAAAGCTTGGCACTTACTTGTGTCTCGATGACCAAACGCCCACATTAAATTTCTCAAAGCAGAACTTCAAAAAATCATCACAAAAGCGCCTCTTGAAAACTGCAGAAAGAAAAAAAGCAACATATCAGTCAAATTCAATCAAGCTTTAGATGGATATCAAGTCAAAAGACACCAGAAAAAAAGATATTTGACCTGCTTTCTTAGAAATCCATGCATCAGGCTCATATCCAAAAGGAACATGACTAACAAAGTCAGCAAGCAACCCATTCACATCAAGAACAAGAAGCTTCTTCTTTGAGCGGCTAGTAAAAGTTCTATCTAGTGGAAAGTGTGATACCATGGAATGATTATCTTTCCTGCAGACTAAGCTTGAATCAGCAACATCACCAGCAGAAGACACACATTTCTCGAAAGTTGATCACCATCCAGCTTTCTTCCATTATCTTCTTCAAGTTGCACCTCAGGGACGTCCATAACAGGCTCATCAGTTACACACCTTTGCTCATAAGCATTCTCCAGCATTATCCTTTCCTCTGAACCTCCAGCATTTGAGGTAACTTGGTTAGCTTTAGTTTCTTCCTCCACCAAGTCAGCTGCCAAAGGTTCATCAGAAATTTTATTTGAATAATCTTTATTATCAACCTCAGTAACTGGTTCCACATCATAAATTAAAAAAACTGGAGTATCAACTGTTTATCAATAATCATCATGTTTCTTGATCAGATTTCTTTTTTAAATAACCATTATCATCATCATGATTGGAACACTTATAAATTGTACCTTGCACCGTGTTCAAATTTGGAACTCCTGACACAGAATCTTTAATAAAATGCTCACCATTTACAAAAATTGAGCTCGATCTGCTGCTTGCTTCCTGCAGGTCTAACTTTGCATTGCTGTTCTCTGCAGCCTTTTCAAGTGTATTCTGCTCCTTTTCCACATTTTCTTCAAAACAAAAATTGCTTCCTGCATGTAAATTTCTTGTTACAGGATTGATGAATAACTATTGAACTAGATACAACAGAACCATATGTAAAGGAGGGACAGAAGTTTCAGTTGAAAAGGTATTAACAGTAATACCATTAACATTGCTGACAGGGGCATTGTGTATCGGGCTCCAACTTTTCCTTCTCTTGCTCATTGTCAAGCTTACTTCTGTAACTCGTTGGGGACTTGACAAATCAGTGATAGTTGGCGAGTATTTACATGAGTCTCTTCTAGCACCATCAGCCTCCATGAAAGAACCTTCCTGTGAAAAATCAGGAACTATATCTATGTTTTCAAAAATTCCTTCTCCTTTCCGCTTTGTCAAGCTTACTTCTAGACTTTTTTGGGAACTTGACAAATCAGTCATCGGTGGAGAGTCTTTACATGAGTCCTTTATAGTAGCATCAGTTTTGATTGACAAATCAGTTTTGATTGAAGAAGCTTCCAATGAAAAATCAGGACCCATTTCTACCAGTTCACCAATATTATCTGCTTCCTTCTTTGCCAAGCTTACTTCAGCACTTCTTTGGGAACTTGACACATCAGTCACAGCTTGAGACTCTTTATATGAGTCTTTATAATAGCATCAGTACTCATTGAAGAACCTTCCAGTGACAAATCAGGACTTATGTCTAACAGTTCTACCTCTTTACTTTACAGAGAATCTTCCAAGTTACATATTTCATCAGACTCAGTGCAAATGTTATTCAGTACACCATTTTCTCTTGGACTTCCTAAAGTAACAGTACAAAAAACAGGAGAACCCTCCAGAGCAGAATCTCTAGGAGTACCTCCTACGATAGTCATGAGGAGAGACTACACATTCATTACCATAGCGGTAGCATTAATTAAAAAGGTTACCCTGTAAAGCATCTTGTTCAGCATCCAATATTTTCAGGAAGTTTAACTTCCTATCACTTTTCTTGCTCTTTCTCTTTTTTACATCAAGCTAATTCCCATGTTGACCATATGAGTCAAACTCATTTTCCAGATCTTTCAAAGAAGTAAATTCGCTATGGAGCACCTAGTGCTCGCCTTGTCTGTTGTTTTATAGGTCACTAGTTCAGCACCAAATACAATATCTCCTGTTTAATTTATCTCCTCTGTCTTGCCACAAGAGGCAATGCATAATTCCAGCTTCTGGATGCTATATCATTCTCAAATAAACATCTTGCCCCAACCAGGTATTTCCTTCCCAACCTTCACCAATCATTGTTCATATCAATCTAGAAATATGCCTTAACTAACTCACCTAGTCAATTCCAGCAGCATGGGTCATCAATTGTTATATTATCTATCTGTCCTTTACTGAAATGCCTACAACAATTGAGTTCAAAGAAAAGATTAGCCTACAATGACCAACTGAACTCTCCATGCCATTGTACTCAGCACTTTCTAGGATGTTAAGGCACAAAGTACAAGGCAAAAACACCAAAGCAACCTAATATGATAATGTTATTCGAAAAGTCAGCAGAACTGACATCATAAAGGAACCAAGAGCTAATCAACAAAAACATCAAACAATCTAATCGAAAGCTAATTCTTTAGATACTCAGATCAGGCAATCCTCCACTGCATAGGCGGACCTACACTACACTCAGTGGGGGCATCTACCCCCCACTGAAATCTTTGAAATATGCATAGTTGATTTAATAACCTTTTAATTTTTTGTTCCAGATAATTTGACACAACTCGAGCTAAGTCATTTACAAGATCATACATCACAAATACCTTGAGAATTTTCCAAAATTGATGATAAAGTAAAAAGATTAATAAACAGAATGCCAATACACAACAAATCCAACATTGGTAAATGTTGCAACCCTCTATCCTAATAAACTTAAAACCAACGACAATACAGAAAATACACCACAAATGGGATTAAACAAACTAATGGAGTTGTATTGCAAGCAAAATAAGGAGCTGAAATTACAGAGTACATGAAACAACACGAAATATGATGAAATAACACAACATACACCCAGTACAGCAACACAAACCTAAGCTACACATGAACAAATGATGAAGCAAGATGAACCTCCTCCACCCCAACCTGGCATTCGAAAGGCCAGAGCTCTCCACGTTACTCCAATTTTCAAAATACTCCCCTACTTTGATGTGTCAGCTGGTCTTTACCCATAGGACTTTCTCCTTAACCCATAGTTCCATATTTTCTGCCCTTTGCCATTCTTTTTATATCTCCTTTTTGTATGTTTTCATAGTGACAGGAGATGGGGTCTTATCAGTAAACAACACAATCCAAATCATACAACATGCTAGTAATCAAAATGAAGTGGGATGAAGTATGATAGCCAATTACACACCATTCAAGCAAAAACTAGTACGGAAAAAAACAATATGTAAATATTCCCAAATTCAAAAGTGATAATATTCAAACGATTACAAGACCAGATTCAAAGCCAAATTAAAATTATTTTTTTAAAAAAAAAATAGCAAGAATGCCCATGCAGGGAACAGATTCAAAGCCAGATTGAACCAATCAATCTCACCAGATGTTGGGAGTAGAAAAAACCCTAGAGTTTATACCTTCTTTACTGCTTGCCTGAGAACAACACAGGGCTGACAACAGTGGACGGCATCTGACGGAGTGTTGAGTGCTCGTTCATCAACAAAGATAAATGAATCTGATACTCTGAGAATGAGTTTTATTGGAGTTATAATTAATTTTAGAAAGAATTTGGTACAGATCAAAAATTAATTACTCAAATATCAAAATTAATTACTTCAGATAATAAAATTTATTTTATTAATTTATACTTATATATTTTTATATAACTGTTCGTTTTCTTTTTTATATATAATTTTGGCTTTAAAATTAAATGCAGCTTTCTGGAAATCTCCTTTCATTATTTCTATTGGTATTTAGCCTATTTTGGCTCTTTCAAGTTTCAACTTTTAACAGCGATCAATTTAAATCTTCCCCAATTGTCACAAATAGCACGACAGCATTTAGAATCCGATCTACTAATTTGCAACTAGTCCCAGAACTTTCAAAACCAAAAAAGAGAAGTCTTTTAACTCTCATATTTTAAGAAATAGGTCTTCTGTCTATTTGTCATAGATATTTGGTGGAAGGTGATTTCTTTTTCCTTCTTAGATTTTGGTGAACATGAAGGCAAGTAACCAAAATGGGAGCTTACTGTGTCAATTGACTTAACACTATTAAAGGAAAATATACAGTATTAATTTCCTGAAGCCCCATTCCCTCCCCACCTTTCTATTCTTTTTCTATCATAAAAGCCAAGGCATGGTGCAGAGCACATATTCAAAAACAGACTTGTATTAGATTTATAAGCAGGCAAAAAGAGCTTAATGATACGAAAACCACAAACACACTCCAATTCCAGTAGTTCTATTGAAACACTCACAAGATAGTTAAGATTAAGCCAAATTTTTTTGTAAAACCAAATGAGTCGACGGCTGAAAGCTGAGGAGAATAAAATAATCCGGAGAACAATATGAAGTAAATTACAGAGAAAAGGAAGAAAGACGAACCTGAATGGCAGACGCGAATCGAGGGGCGAGAGAGAAATATGCAAAGAAGCAGCGATTCCGAGACGCCAAGCAGAAGAAGCGCAAGATGATTGTTGAAGTGAGAGCGACGAAAATAAGGAAGAAAGGATCGCGACAACGAAGAGAAGGGATCGTTCTCAGGCCCTAATGATGACTAATAAGGGATTGAAGGCTAGCTTCCCTTCTTTCTTTCTTCTTTTAAGTAGATTAAATTTAAATTAATAAAACGAAATAATATAAAAAGGAAAAAAATGTTTAAAGCCATCTAGATTTGAGTTGGGAAAAGAAAATTAACACTGCAACAAAATTAAAAAGAAAAAAATAGAAAAACAATTCAGGTAAAGATTAATTATTTTTTTGACATGAGTTATGGAAATGAGATTGGAAAAACCTCTTTTCCTTCTTGCATATAAACATTTGTAAAGTTTCAGAATGAAAATTGATATAAATCTTGCATTGAATAAATCTCCTCCCTTTAACCTTACAAGTCCAAATTGATCATGTATCAGAAGACGTGCGAGATTGCAAATTAAGTGGAGAGAGAGCCTTCATTCAGATTGAAAGTTTTAAGATGATGCTGAAGAGTGAAGACTTGAGGGAAAGGACCAAAAACACAAATTTTCAAGGTGATACATTGCACAATCCGTACTGTACTGTTACGGCAAAACAAGACAATGGACTATTTCAGTATGGATTTCAATACAGTGAACACGACAAGATCAAAAGAATATTTTTCATGAATTTTAAGGCAAGTAGCTCCGTTAAAAAAAAAAAAAGGATAGATCATCCAATGGGCTCATATAGCTTAATTTTTTTTATATGAATCTAATTGTTTTGTAATTTTCTTGTGAAAATTTATACCCACCTTTCATCTGTAACTCTGTAAGCATTGTGTACAACTTCAACTATTTCACCCGAGAGAGAGAGAGAGAGAGAGAGAGAGAGAGAGAGAGAGAGAGAGAGAGAGAGAGAGAGAGAGAGAGAGAGAGAGAGAGAGAGAGAGAGAGAGAGAGAGAGAGAGAGAGAGAGAGAGAGAGAGGATTACTATTAGGTTCCACGTAAAAAAATTAATTACGGTAAGGTTCAGTCAATGTAGTTAATGGACCTTATAGTAATTAATTTTTTTTCTTATATGAACTTTAATGTAATTCTCCAAAAAAAAATGTAGTAATAGGTCCCACCAATCAAATGAAGCCATGAACTTTGTGTTTAGTTTTTTTTTTTCAAATTACAAATAGAAACAAAAGTATGAAGGTCGAAAAAAGGAACAAGAAGTCGGGATCTAATATATGGTCTTGAATCAAACAAACTTGGGAGAAAGTTAGAGATGCATTGGAAGTTATCCAAGGGGTGATATCCATTGGAAATAAGAGAAGAGTGGAATCTTTTCTATCAAATCGACCTACTCTTGCTTGCAGCAGAAACACAAGGAGGACATTGATCTAATTTGGTCTCAAATATATGGAAACTTAAAATTCCCCAGAGATGTCGTTCTTTCAATTGTCTCGTTCTACATAAGGGATTACTTGCGAACTCTGCCTGGAAGAGACGGGGGCTTTGTGACAATAATTTGAGTGCTATATGCAAAGTTAAAGGGGGATATTATTCATGCCCTCAGGGATTGCAACCTTCCACAATGTTTATGGAAGGCCCTAATTCCCCTTTACATATGGAATGTTTTCTTTAGATTGTAATTACATGATTGGGTGAGGTGGATCCTCAAATCAAAATATGATTTATGATGATTGGGGTTCTTTATTTGTAGTAGTTTGTTGGTGGATATGGAAATGCAAAATTTTTTCATTTTCAAAGATAGCAAAACCAGCAATGAGATGGTGATTGTGAATGCCATTACGATGCTTTATAGTATGAAGTCTGCTCAATCTAAACTTTCTAAAGGGCATGGGAAGGATTCGAACCAATTTGATAGGGGTAGATGGGTTCCACCTACCATGCAACGTTGATGGTGCCTACTCTTATTGCACTTCTCTTGTAGCTTGCAGAGGTCTTTTATAGGACTATCATGGCAACTTCTTGCAAGGTTTTATATGTCATATGGATAAAGGTGATTCTTTGATGATTGAACTATAGGCTTGTATTCATGGTTTAAGAACGACCTAGGATGCAGGTTTTCGTAAAATTAAACTTGAGACAGATTCAACAAAAGCCTTAGATCTAATTATGAAGGGTTGCAATAGTGAGCTTAATGAGTATGGAGTCATGCTAGTGATATAGTAGTTGCTTTAGAGGGAGTGGGAGGTTCATCTTAAGCAGGTTTGTCGTAACATTAACATGAATGCCGATTATCTCACCAAATTTGGGCTCAACGTGATGTTAAGGATAACTTTTTTGATGCATGCTTTTGATGGTCTTCATGAGGTGCTTGCTAGAGATTTTGATTATGGGTCTCAAGGTATAGGCTAGCTAGCCTTGGGTGTGTTTTGTATTAATATAAAAAAAAAAAAAGAAGGAACAAGGAATAAGAAGGAATTAATCCATGTCTCTAAAACCATATATAAAATCATAGTCCATGATAGCTAAACATTATAAGAGGTGTTTCTAAAATAATACCCCTTTGTCCCTATATATAAAAAATCTTTTAGAATCTTTTATTTTCTTTAAATATAAGAAGTTGTTAACATTTTTTAATGAATTAGGGGTAAAATTAGAATGTTGTTGTACTTTTATTAATTTGTTTTGAAAAAAAATTCATTTTTTATTTACAATAATTAGAAAAAAAATTAAAATGTTGTTGTGCTTTTAATTAGATAACTAATTTTTATTAATTTGCATAATTTAATTAAAAATATCTTATATATAGAAACAAAGGGAGTATAATGTTAGTGATATGAGTGTAAAGCATTGCATGCTAACTAATCTGTGCATGTATTTACTTCTCTAAACATATTCTTATAGGAAGCCTCCCAATCATGTAGAGGCATTTTCTAATATCGTCTGCAGATCCAAAGGTGGGGTGAAACATGCCTTGAATTTTTTTAAATGTTCTTTAAGGCCTCCATAAAATCAAAAAACAAATTAACTTTTCTGAAGTATCCCTAATGTTTATCATTCCCATCATAGCACAAGGAAAGTAACCCATATTAGACATAAACCCGCCTCTCTCATTACCCTCTTCATCACGAATAAGATTGCCACACGCAGCTTTCCCTTTGTGATTGACGATCCCATCCACATCAAATCTAATCCAACCTAAATCTTACAATCTCAATTTCATTTTGTCTATAGTTATATCTAACTGAAGTCTATCTTTAAAATTTTCGACTCCAGTTATTTTTAGTTACGCATGTGAGATTGTACAACCTCAAGTTTAGATAAGTTTTAATTAAAAGAGTGTCAAAAACTCATAAATTTAAATAAATTAATATTAATTATAAAAAATTAATATTAAAAAATAAATTGGTAATATAAACTTCTTTTACAGAAGTTTACCTTTATTAATAATTAATTAAAATATATAGTTATTAACATTCTTCCCACAATTTTTATATTTTTTTTTCCTAATCTTACTTCCACTTCAAACATTTAATCAATTGAAAATAAAAAACATTGAGAGAATAAAGTCTGTAATAAATAAATTTCAAAATTCAAGATTCAATCACAAACACAACATTCGGCTTTGGGGCGAGGTGTTCAGAAATTCATTTTTTGCATATCTGTTTAGAAAAGACAAAGTGAACAAAAATCCTTTTATTTTTAATAATTTGTGTCCGCAGTTAGACTTAAATATTCTTAAAACAATGTGTGTGTGTGTGTGTGTGTGTGTGATAATAAAAAACACTAAATCAAGGTTTTTGGGTCAGAACACTCGATCGAGTTGGTAACAAAAATTTAACATAAGAAATATAACATGAATATACATTCTTATCCACTCATTTGAGCTCAACAGCTGTTTAGATATAAAGATTTGTTTGGGTCCTCGCACCGAAAATTTGTATCATGAGAGAGAAAGAGGGTAAACAATAATAAATAAGAGAAATGATGCAAGGAGAAGTAAAACTGGCAGATAATTTAAAATTGTTATTTCATTTTAATCAAATTATTTCTAAGATCAACGTAAATTATTAAACTTTTGTTAAGGCTTTCAAAACCCACGAAGAGTGATTAATCTAAGGCAAAAAAAAAAAAAAATCCCTTTTTTCCCTGTAAGTTTTTCCATTGCATTTCCTTGTAAGTAGTAATGACATCTATAAAAACAGCAAAACCTAAGGCCAAACCAAATACGTGCTAGGAAAAACTAATGGATGAACTCTCCACAAACACTACTACTAAATATGAAACGTTAACTACAGATTAAAAGCAACTCACAGCAATCACTATATCAAAACGAAATGCATTCATTACATACACATTAGTCGTTGCTTAACCCAGAATTCTGCAGGCGACTGGAGTGATGATTAACCATTGCCACACGCACCCTTGTCTCCTTGTACGCATGCATTGAATTAGGCAAAACAAGCTTCCAAGAAGCACCAAAACGTTCCCATTGAAATTCCACTTCTTTCTGATAAATGGCCATTAGGAGATTGAGCATGTGGCACTGAGTGATGCCGCAAGGTGAAGAAACATAAGGGCATGAGTTCAAGCTTTCACACCTTGACATACTTGTCAACATAGCCCTGCAGAATATGTAGAGACAGGAACGTCACTAAAGTAAAACAAAATATCAACGACCTAACCTGGAATTAAGTGCAGATCAACTTCCAAGTCCAACAAGAAATTTCTAATACTATAGTTTAACAATCATTCATATATAAACAATTCCTTCCATCTCCATTTTCCTCTTGAAGAGACGTAGCAGCAGCTTCCTACATTCAAAGTCATTCGAAGAGAGTTTCTATATCTCCAAAAAAACAACTCCCTCAATGAAGAAAAGAGAGGCGAAGGAAGGGGGGGATATTGGATCACTCTTAAAAATGAATCTTTGCAAGTCGTAAGTAGCTTGAAGATAATAAAAGGCAAGGAGACAAATTTTCAGTGATAATTTCCAATGAAGATTCACAACAATGAAGTAAAAAAGTCAAAATATTTGCCCTATCTGACAAAGACAAATTTTAGACTGAATCAATCAAATAGATGCATATCATTAACACATTAGCCCCTACCACAAGAGACACGATGGCTTCAGATTCCAAACACATTTTCTCATCACAAAGATATGTTTTAACATGCAGAGTTTAGGCACAAATTTTCTTGCACATCCACTTTGCATACGAGGCCAAGTGAATCAACATTGGCAAACAAACTATAATTTATGTGATGTTGGGGAAATACAGACCAAGGGATGAGAAAACAATTACCATCACAAGTTTAGTCAACTTTCGCTGTGAAGAGTCTATGTATTGATTTATCTTTGCTTGGGACTTGGGTACACGGTGACCCTTCATGGCCCCTGACACCTTATCTACAGTCTTTTTTACAATGGTTTTAAAAGCCACCTTACTCATATTACCCTGCCTCCATGAAGGTTTCAAAACCTCTTTCACAAAATTCGCAATGGAAACTTTAAATAGTTTCATCGATCTGGAATCCTTGCTCTTCTTTCTTTTACCTGGAGATTTAACCTGATCAATCTCAATCTCACCCGCAGCCATCTCTGCATCATCCACAGGATTACTTAGGCTCTCATTTTCGACAGCACCTACTTCTGCATCTGCTGTCTCACCATATTCATCATTGTTCTGAGATGAGGTAGAGGCTGTAGCACCAACTTCCCATTGCTTGTTCTCTTCTACATCCAAAGACTTAAAAGAACTTTTGGGTCTTAGACAGATGTTAGATTCACCAGTAACTTCCTGCTTTTGATCACGATGAGATTTCTTGAGAGAAGCAGATGATGGTTCGATGCTGTCAAAAAGTGGATCATATTGGTCACTACCAGACCTCGGTAGAATCTGTCCAATACCTTTAGCACATTCAGGAGAAGAAGCTGTTTGTCTTGATCCAACACCAAAAACACCTTGCCCATTTACTGGAGTCCGGTTCAAACTGGAAGAAGAGCCATAATTATTTACATGGATCATGTCCTTTTCCTGTCTAAAGATACTTGAACTGAATTTGGAACTGAGTGGCTGTTCAAAGGTGGATGCATAGGGATTATAGTGAGCAGAAATTCTCGATCCCCCAAAGTCTGGAAGAGAAGCTGAATGATTACTATCCAAAACATCTGGTGGATATCTGGATGCAGATACAGTCTCCACATGTACACCCAAATTACCATCAGATGCAGAATAATGTGAACTATAAACTGTGTGTTGCTTCTGTGACAAAGGATGAATCAAGGTAGCTGACTTAAAATGCTCTTCTGGAGGCAACTTGTAACTTGAAGTCTGTAGTCTGTTGACACCTGACTCCCATGAAAAGGGCTTAGGTTGTGATTGCAGGCTAGCAAAAGATGGGGAGCTTAAACTTTTTGAATCATGCATTGGAAGTTGCTTATAATGGTCTTCTTTACCAATATTATGGTCCAAATGTGATTGACTGATTAAGTTTCCCAGAGAAGGAGGCCTTGAAGAGAGAGTTTCTGCATGTGTCAGAGGTCGTGAATGCTCCTTCAATGTAGGGTAAGTTTGATCTTGAGACTCAGAACCCTGAATGTGAGATGGCTTCCCAGTCCTCGCAGAAGTCTGAGAAACAAAGTCAGTTTTCGGATGCAATTTGTTTTCATTAAACTCAGAAGAAACATAGGATGTTGGAGCTCCTGAATTTAAACTAGAACTATATGCAAATTGTGATGGTGGCAGTGGTGGTAAGGATGTCCACGAGTTCTTAGGCGGTACACAAAGGTGAGGATTTGGAGCATGCAAGATTCCTGTGTAAGGCTCTCTTCTGGTGGATTGGTAAGGAAAGGGTGTATTTTGCTGCATTGAAACATAATCCCAGGACAATTGTGGTTGGACAGAATTTCCACTAAAAGAATGCAAAAGAGCAGGTGGTGGAGGCAATTGGTAAGAATGAAGTGGAAAACCCACAGAACTATGCGCAGGTAACTCCTTAGATGCCTGAGAGCTCAATGGAGACTGCTCTGATGACATATGTTGACTGGTCAAACTTGAAGTAGACTGTAGCTGAGTTGATGGTAACATACATGGTAAAGGCTTACCATTAGAAATCTCACTGGAAGAGGCTATCAATCTGTTACAATCAGGCAATAAATTAGACACGGTGGAATTATTTATAATCTGTGGTGGGTGATCAGAACGTTCCATCATTCCAATAGAAACATTTGATTGCAATAGCTGAACAGGTGAACCATTTTCTGATGGAAAAACATCTCGAGATGCACCCTCAGATAGTTTCAAGGCATCACCACTGCTTATAGAGTTGGAAGGAAAACCATCAACCAAGTGTTGCCGGCTCGAGGAGGCCGCATAATCATGATTGATACCTTTTGGCTCCTCCACAGCTGCTAAGGTTTCTCTCACTTCAGGAGCAACTTCTCTGGAACTTTCAGATATAGTTGGAGGAGCATTAACCAGTTGACTATCATGATCTGATATAGTTGGCATAATAGCATTCTTGACAGAATCTTCTTGCCTCTGTTCTAATTCCTGGCCAGTAGAACAGCCACTTACTTTCTGACGAAGTAGCACATCCTGACTTCTCCCTCTTTCACACTCATCACCTGACAGTTTCATAGAGATGCTTTTCTTGGCTTCATGAATTCTAGAATTTTTTGAAGACACTTCTAGATCATGTTTATTCCTATGACGTCTTGAACTAGCATTCTTATTGGGTTCATGGTGTAAATAACGACAAGCTGCTCCACGGTAGCACTTTCCTCGAAGAAAGTCAAAACATTTTCCCTTGTCCCTTTTTATGTTCTCACCAATGAACTCACCTGATCGTCTCAAGATTGGAGACCTGCTCCTGCTCCTTCTATTCCAAGGAGACCAGCTAAAGCGAAGAAAAATGAAAACAAAATTTCAATGAATTCAAATAAGTATTCCAAAGCATGGAAGAAATCAAGATCCAAGAATCTAAAAGAAAAGGGACAAATAATTAAACCCAAACAAGAGAAGGGAGATTTTAAGCACATTCATGAAATGAAACCGAAGAACTAGGTAAAGAAGGATTGTGCGTCTACCACTAACTGTTTGTCTGAGGACAAGCATCAAACTAACAGACCAGGGCATCATGAAATTAGAGACAGCAACACACCTGCGAGATCGGCTTCTCTTATCTTTTCTTCTCCATGGACTCCTCTTCCTCCTCCTACCACTCCTTTCTATAGGAGATCGGCTGCGACTCCAACTTCGGTCTCTTTCATTCCGCCTCCTAGTCCGACAATTTCGAGAATCATCAGAGTCACTATCTGTAGGATCTTCCCTGACAAATCTTCCAAATTCATCCACTTTCAAGGGATTCAATTCAAACCTAGAAGTCTTTTTGTCGCCTTGCTCAGCATTAAGACTCTTACTACTACAGTCAATGCCAGCACTACTCAAGACATCTTTCCCCTTGGAAGCTTCAATAGAAGCAGCAAAATTCACAGGATCCTGATTTTCAAGGTTATGTTCAACGCATACATCATTAATCCCACTTGTAATGTTGGTTGTATGGGTAAAATCACCCTCTTGCACTAGATGCAAAGACATTTTTGATTCATTCAGAGATGTCTTGGAAAGCAGCTCACACCCCTGTTGAGTAGCAGTGGAAATTTTGGATCCAATATCTGTCTCCAAACTACTCCCAAGATCTTTATGGGCAAAAGAAGCACTGGTGGCAGCAGCGTTTGAGTCTATCAAAGTGCTAGCATCTGCCAAGCATGTTTCATCTTCATTATCCGAAGTCTCATCTGAAGCATAATCTTGAAGAAGTCTCATTGGGCTGCCACTCCTTATTAGTTGTCCAGAATCTCTATCAGGATTAGCTTCAGAAGGATCAGAAGTACCACATTCTGTGAGATCATCTGCTAAAGGAGCTGCAGCTTTGGCTTCGGGAAATTTAACCACTTCTACAGAATCATCCATTGTGCTATGAACCTTGGTAACTGATTTGGCAGTGTTCATCTGCTCCAATTCAAATAAATGCTCTGGTACTGTATTTTATGAAAAGCCTTATCAACACAATATATGGAAAAAGGCCTTGCAAAAAGATAACACTAGGATGGTTCTGACATCAGATGCCAGAACAGTATCTTAAAATATACCATGCCTTATAATTTTGATTAGCCTACAATAGCAAGGAAACAAAGAATTTAAAGGCATGGAACTTTAATGACTGAATATATATACCAAAAAGAAAAAAAATCATCTCCTAAATAAACCACATTGGAAAGACCCTGAGCAAAATATAGTTATATACACAATTGTTGGAGTCAGTTTTCAAGCATATAGTCCCTAATTTCCATGAATATCAATGACAAGAAATAATAGTTAGCATTTTATTGCTGCAACCAATTAAAAAAATAAAGAAAAAAGAAAAAAAATACACAAAGTTGTGTATATATATGATCAGGGCTTTCTGCAATGAACCTTCGCATGCATTGCCGACTCCCAAGGGTCCAGAGCAGGCGATGCCACTGGCTAAGATATCATTGATAGGGTTGTTTTCTATGGAAACCTGCAACCGATGTGTTTGGTTCTTACTGCTAAATCCAATAATTGCATCATGCTGCTGGTTTAGACCGTCATTTGTATTGTTCAGGCCCTGGTCCTTGTCAGACAAAGTGATATCATCTGGGCCAACCCAAGGCGATATTATGAAAAATGAAAAATTGATCCAAAACTTAGAGATACTTCAAATAGTAAATTTAGTTGAGATAAAAAAGTAACTCGAATTTGCACATTCAATTTTCAAATGCTTATAGTGTAATACTTGGCAAACAGCAATACTCATGCCAAACCACAACCAAAGATGCCATAAGTTAATGCCACAAAGAAATAGTCCAATATAGTGTAAACAAACTGAACCAAACCAATCCGCTCACCAAAACTTGGAACCTATATAGTTTTTTCCTTTAATAGGTTTGGTTCGGTTTTCGAGCGGTTTGGTTTGGTTTAGGTTTGTTCAAGTTTTATTTTACTTTTGTGAGATGTTTTTCATAATCAATATAGGTACGTAATTACTAATAATTTTTAACTATTAATTATTATTTCCAAAAAAAAATTGGAGGACAAAAGAATATTTTTAACAATTAATTAGCAAATTTAACTATTAAAAACTAATATATTATCTTTAAAGTACTTGATTACAAATTTAAAAAATTATCAAAAAAATTATAGACAACATTTAGTTAATTGTAATAATTTTTTTATTAGCGATTTACAAATAAATAAACTCAGGAAAAATAAAAAAACTTAGTGAAATTTATAAAAATATATAAAATAAATATAATAAAGTTTGCTTTGGTTTAGTTCAAGTTTTCAAAGACAAAAACTTAAACCGAACCAATCGGTTTTGCTAAAAGGAAAACCAAACCAAGCATTATTTATAATTGATTTTGATTGGTTCATGCCAGTTTGGTTTGGTGTAATCGGTTTGAATTATTTTTGAACACCCTTTCAATAACATTATGTTGATAAGTCCAAGAATCAGGATCATAAGCAAGCATACTAACCTTCCATCTCCATGTCAGAGTCTCCAGCTGAATTACATTCAGTTACAACATTCAGATGATCATGTTGCCTTGAAGAGTCTGCTGTTAGAGGCCTTGGCAGTGATTCACTTTTCTTGGCATGCCATCTATATTCCAAAATATACTTCCTCTTCATCCATAGGAAATACTTATGGGAAATAGCTGCTTCAGTTCCTGGATCACCTTCAAACAGAAATGCATACGCAGGATTTTCACGTTCATCTTGACAAATCTTATCTTCAATATCAGGACCATTCTCAACAATAAGCTGACATAACGCTTCAATCTTTTCAACAGTTTTATCTTCTGTTGGACGGCAAGGAGGTGGAGGAAGATCTGAAATTGCATTTCTAGTTGATGGCAGCCCATCTCTATCAGCAAAAGCTGCCTCTTTACTACTTCCACCTCCTTAGGAAAAGGTGCAATTCCAGACAAATCAGAAGCTACTACATCATCAACAGGATCTACGGCCCTCAATTCAGAACTATGAAGCTTACTACAAGACTTGGGATCAGAGTGCAAGTCAAAGGACAAATTAGAGACAGCCAGGTCAGATGCAGAGGTCATGGGAGAGTTAGAAGGCGGTGGAGATGGCAGAAATGGGGGCGGAGAAGATGGCAATGGTGGGTGACTGCAGGAAAGTACTTGGCAATTCCCAACAGATGAGTGAAGATAAACTTCATCTGGAGTAGAAGCATGAAAACCAGAAGTAGAAGGGGCTGGCGGGGGTGGAGGGATATGCTGAAGGCTCTGTACATCACCTGGCGGAGGTGGGCATGGTGGAACAGGATGTCGATACATAGATTGTCCTTGTGAATGAGATGAGGGAGGCGGAGGAGGGGGCAGAGGCAAAACTCTAGGTGATGACCCTGGAGCCCAAGATGTTTCACGGCGAGGGTTGGAAAGAGGAGGTGGAACTGGTGGGGAAATATGATGAGTGTGGACCCCCAAATTTGGGGAATGCTGTGAGTTCTGGCCAAAACTAGAGAATGTTTGAGGCATCAAGCTGTTCCCATGCAACAGAGGTCGAGGAACCACATAAGATTGACCAGCATTTTGCACCAAACTAGATGGACTTTGCATAGAAGAATTAAGAGGAACTGTAGACGATGAAGCAGGAGGCCCATGCATATAGTTATGAGAAGCAGACAGCCCAACGTAAGGTGGGACGGTAGTGGGTACATGTAGGCTCGGGGGCGCAGGAGAACCTTGCTGGAAGTGAAAGTGGGGAGGTGGAGCTTGGTGGCGTTGTTGATAAGCTGGCTGCATGGGCGTGTGAGGACCGTGATTCACTTGGTTATACATCTCACATGCACAGGCTCAATTAGCTAGCAATGCAAAAATCTCTTTCTTAAAACCCAATCTTCACTGTTTTGATGCTCAATTCCAGACTCCAAGGGATCACCTGAAAAAAACATAAAATTTTAAGAACAGCATGAAGCAGCAGAATGTTGAGGGAAAATCACCCAAATAAAAATTATGAATCCTTGTGACAGGGTCATTCAGTTATCAGGATGAGAATATTCAAGAAATTCATGGAGAAAATATGACTGTGGAATAGCCCAAGAAACCAAAAAAATGACACATAAGTGACTAACTATAGAAAACAACTTCAAGATGCTGTTTCTGTGTTCGCTCAGATTTTTTTCCCTTTCATTTCTTTATACTAGGTCTGCAAAAAAAAAATAATTCGCTCCCGCTTATAACTAGCGCATTGCTCATGCCATTCAGCAAATGCTCAAAATACCGTATCCTTTCTGTCTCATTTTCTCTTCATATAGGTTATAAGATTATCCAGATTTCACCCAACGTGTTGAAATAAATTTCTTGGACCAATTTTCCCTTTCTTCTGCGCAATCCAGAATTGCTCCGCGTGAAATGCTTCGACCAACAGAATAAACTTTGCAATTTTTGGGAACAGCGTTTTTGGCGCCAACTAATCTTCCGTAAAGAGTGATGACCAAAAATTAAGAGCCCGGAATTTTGAAAGTTTCTATCAACAATCCAATGGTTTGTTCTTCTTTTTCACATGGATAAAACCACAATAACCCATCATTAACACTTAAGTTCCCCAATTGTCAGTGCAACCATACTGCAAATAAGTAGCGGATAGCAAACTTTCCAAAGAAGCAAAACTAAGCAGAAACCAGCCTTAACGTCGGGAGCAATCACAAACTAGCACGACTTACCGTACGAGAGAGTGAGAAAATTAAAACTCTGATCTTTGAGACTAGGAAGGCCTAAAGAAATCACTAATGGTCCTTTGGGGATTCTAGGGTTTTCTTATCACAGTGAGAGTGAGGGCAAAAAAAATCTCCGCAGTGGAAACCCTGAGTAAGAATCTCCCCTCTGCTCAAGCACATTGGAATTCCGAAACCCAAAGTTCTTATCAGCGTGATAACAGAGAAAAGTTTCTAAGAACAGTTTAATCTAGGAAAGGAAGCCAAAAGCCTCTTGAATCGGAATCGGTGTTGGGATAATCTGGATCCTGGTTTTCAATTTTGCGTCTTCTTCTTCTTCTTCTTCTTCTTTTTTATGTTTCTATTTTAACTTCTGGTAATTGGTAATTAGTAAATAATTTTTAAAAATTGTCTATTTAATTGCATTAAAAATTATCAAAAATTAGGGGCCCTTTTTTTCCCTAATTGGGGCTTGTTCAATTTATGTGATATACTATATAGATAATCGTCATATCGATTTTCCATATGCAATTTGAGCTTGTTCATACTAAAATTTATTTTAGGTTTTATATTTTTTTGGGCCAGATTTTCGGCTATATATATATATATATATATATATATCAATCAATCAACCTGTCAATAAAACTTTGTCTCGCTAGTTTGCAATTTGCTTCGTTAAGAGAAAATAATACAGAATAAAAAATAAAGTATATTTATTTTTTATTGAATGTTATTTTTTAATAAAAAATTGTTAGGATAATATAATTTTTAATCCCTAAACTTTCTTACACTTATCAATTTAGTTATCAAATGTTAACTTAATACAACTTAATCTTTATATTTTATTAAGTTAAAGAATTATAAAAATTAATTTACGTCAAGTGAAAAAATTATAAGAATGGAATTGTTCTAAATCATTAAATTATAAAAAACTGAATTGTTTTGACTTTCAAGTCACAGTTTAATGATTAAATCAATAATTAAAAAGTTTAGAATCAAAAAATATATCTTTTAAAAAATTATTTTGAAAGTGAATAATTAATCACTCTTCAAAAAATGATATTAAGCAATTTCTCAAACACATTCACACACAACACAAACTATAAGTATGAGAAAGTAGATATTTTTATTATCTATAATACTCGTATTAAAAATAATATTATTTAAGATAGGATCAGGTATTAAATATATATATATATATATATATTTTAAATAAAATTTGAATCTTGATTTAATATATTGTGAAAAATTACACTATTCCATAGGCCCAACCCCTGCAAGTATAAGAAAATAGAGTTGATGTAATGATGTCATAGGCTATGTTTTTGAGTTCCGAGAAGGAAGCATTGGTCTTAAGAGTGAAAAAGCCCTGGATATTATGGAAGATGGATGGTTGGATTCAACTTCCAAGTGAGTGTGTCCCATGAGAATTTTTCTCTGACTTTACCAAATTTCTATGAATGAAGCCTTTTTCTATTTTTGGGCCTAGGTGACTTGATAATAGAGAATGGATTTCTTATATTTTGCTATTTTTTTATCCAATAAAAATTTGAGTAAATTAATTGAGAACTTGTCAAAATGAGGGCTTGCCCCTAGACTGATTGTATTCTGCGATCACTTACAGTTATCAGAGATTTTTTTTTTTCTGGAAGAAAGGAGAGGAAAAAAAAAAGCAGTGAAAACCTTGAACAATTAAATGTTCATTTATACACAATTAAAGATTTATTAAATCATTTATGCAAAAATGAACCTCTAGTTGTTCAGGGTTGTCACTATTTTTTCTCCTCACGGTCCTCACTATCTCCCTTTTTTAATACAATATTAAAGATCATTTTTTGGTAACAAAATGACGTTTTTGTTCGTCGATTACACGTACGTTGGGCTGCTGCCTCGACAGAGCTGTTTAATGGGGCAAAAAAAAGTGACCTTGTCGGGCTGTTGTCATTATCGGATTATCCAATCCAGCAAGAAGGTATGTGAAGTGTCAAGTATCATTTCCCTTTGTTTTGCCAAGAATATAATAAATAAATATTTAAAAAAATTTACAGGAGATCTATTAAAATGTATACTGAATTACCGAAACAACAAATTTTCATGGAATCTAAAAAAAAATTATTTGACTAATAAATGATATGAACTCACGTAAATTTTATATTTTATATTTTATATTTTATATTGACAATAATGTCGAATATTGATGATTCATAGCCAAAATTTGCAAAAGCACAATCCACTCTTAACCTGCAAAAGACCACTGTTAGTTTCATGGATAATACTAAAACTAAACTCTACCTAATGCTGATATGTCATTTAACCAAGTACTGAATTGATTAAATTCATCCACTCCACAAAAGAAAAATATAATAAGACATTACATCTTGTCATCAATTCCAGGGCAGTAAGCGTTGTCAACGGGCTGCATAGTAAACGTTTTCCCCCCCTCTAAAGGCATTGAGTTTGATTATATCTCAACTAAATTTATTCTCCTGTAACCCCCAAAAAATTGCCCAATTTAACACCCCATGATTATCTTTATATGACAACGACACATAATAGTCATTTTTTCCATTCCTGCAACACAAACAAAACCAAGCTTATCCACATCCTCCTCTTACCCCTGGCTCATCTCCCAACCTCTCTGGGACTTGAATACACACCTTTCTACGCCCAATTTCTTTCATTACCAGTAGCTTTCAGGCGCAGACCCCAAATTGGGACTTGAATACACACCTTTTTAACCCAATTTCTTTCATTGCCAATTGCTTTCAGACCCCCCCTTCTCTCTCTCTCTCTCTCTCTCTCTCTCTCACACAGGAAAAGATAAAAGAGGGCAGCAGTTAGATAGGAGTTGAGTAAGAACACAGAATCTTTCAATTTAAACTAAAAACTAGAGTTCAGAATGTAGTGCAGATCTGTATCCTACCATTCCATCTTGCTACAAAAAGAACAAGATAGCCGCTGTAGTAAACTTCTAAAAAAAAAAATCTATTTTCATTTCTTTTTTTTCTCCCTCCTTTTCCCCTCATCTTGTAGGGACTACCATGTTCCACCAGTTAGCAGGTTATCACAAGTTATATGCAGCTATGATCACCTTGAGACGAGGAATGTACAAACAGCAAGCATGCTAAGTCTAAGTTATTATCATCAGCAATTATCTCCCGACTCCTGAGTTCAAATGAATTTTGCCAGTTCACTGCGTTCTTCGTTCGGCCATTGGAGCTGAACTTGAGCAATCTGTCATTCCACCAATCGGTTAATCAGAATGAAACTATTAATGTTACCAAGAGTCCAATTTGTATAACAACAATAATAAACTCCAAACTCAGAAAACCGGTTTACTTGAAATTTTCATGCAATTAAACAGGGATACCCTTCCAAAAACAACCATTCAGCGTTGAATTATTTTTCACTAAGGGGCACAATATAAATAGCTGACATCATAATCAGTCTCATCTTTGATCCTTCTATTATTTCCATTAACGGACAAAATTGAACAAGAATTAGGTCTTGATCAGATATTCTGGATGCTATCTGATTCCGATTGCCATCTTTTTCTTTCGGATGGATTTGTTACTTTTTTCTGTAAAAAAGAATGGTCATCGCCACCGGGGTTGTTTCACCATGTTCATCATCTAACAATCTACCTAACAAGTGTAACTCCAAAAATGCCATTTTCTGTGAGAATTCCTTGACAAGCCATAGGATAGTTACCAACCGTTCCTTGTTTTCATACCTTGATTTGACAGAGATGTAGAACCCTCAGCCACAGCAGGCCCGGGGACTTCTGCATTGAAGCCTGGTGCATCAGTTGTTTGATCATGCCTAGGAACTTCACAATTCAAGCTTCGCAAATGGTCAGTTTGATCATCAGTTGGAAAGCCAGTTCTGGAGCAGGTTGCATCAGTCAACTTTCCATCCAATGAATTTGGTGTCTCATTTTTTTTATCATCATCCTGATTCAAAGAAACAGCTCCTGTTTCTGGGTTAGCAGAAAGTACCTGCAGGATAATCAAAGATGAATAGAGAAACCCTCAGCAAGAGCAGACCAGTATTACTAGGGATATACATCGTATTTGGCCATTTCAGGACCTTAGAAACCAACTAGACTCACTAGATCATACTTGTGCATCACATTCTGAGGTCAGATTCATGGTATTTATATAGAATGTAAACTTTTCGTACATCACAACTAGAACTAAGCAAACAACCCTTTATTTGGCAACCCCAGGGACATCAACTTGCCAATGAAATCATAAAAAGAAACATTTGACATAATTTAATTCTGTCCAGACAGAGAAATTCTACAATGATAAACATCTCATAAGCATTGAATGGACTAGATCATGAATGATCAACCACATTGCATGGGAGGAACACTTCAGGCAAGTTCAATAAAATAGATTTCTGCTATAAGTTAATAGTAGGAAGCAGAGCATCATTCACAAGGTGCGTACATACAAGACCATCTAAAAACGCTTCACAAAGTGAAAACAGTAATCTCAGGCACGAAGGGCCTGTTTGGTTTCTGTTTTTAAAAACAGTTTTTTGTTTTTAAAAACACTTTTGGAGATTGTTAAGCGAGACCTTTTAATTAACAATATTTTTAAAAACTTAATAAATGATAGAGCACAATGGCATTATATAATCCATGTAGCCGACTCCACTTAGTGAGATAAGGTTTGTTGTTGTTATTTTTAAAAGCACAAAAAAAAAATTGTTTGGAGGACAATTTTAAAGCAAATTGTTTTCAAAAATGTTCTCATTTTTTGTTTTTAAAATCAAAAAAATAGAAACATCTTAAAGCTATTTTCATTTTATTTTTCTTTTTTCAAAATATATTATATTTGATTATTGAAAACTACGGTTACCTTAACTAATAATTATCAAAAGCCATCACCATTAATTTCCGGTAACCATCATTATTGACAAATTTTTTAATTCTAAAAATTTTTAAATTAATACAACCAAACAAATTTTCCTTTCATTTTGCTTTGAAAAATAATTTTAAAAAATATATTGCAAAACAGATTTTAAAAATAAAAAATAAGAATAGAAACTAAACAGGCCTAAATATTCGTATTGGTAGTAGTTCTTTCAAAATTCCAACAATGTAAGAAGCAACAAAGTGCGTGCGCACATGCTGATCACACATATAAATGATACCAACTTCCTATCAATTATAAAGCCCAATCGAATCCTTAGGTAATCACTTTTTCTTAACTCTGTTTCTATTGGTCAATCTCTGCCAGTGTACAAATAAAATATTACAAAATCAGTAACCATGCCTGCTTCAAGGACTCTATCCAACACAAGCACGA